AGGTTATTTTTTTAGCATGAAATAGTAGATACACATTCATTATAAGTTGCTTACATTGGTTGCTCCAACAGCAACCATTTTTAATTAACTGATTATGTCATTTGATGTATTAACAGTCAACTTACACCACACCTGCATCTTTGTTTTACTGGAATAAACTAGAGTATCACAGTTTTTAATCATGGCCTACTTTGACTCATACCTTACAAAGGTTGTAAGATTTGTGTTAATTTATACATAAACCTTTTTAAAGAAGGCAATGGTCATTACATCACTTTTCTTAAGTTTACAGGTAATATATATATTATTTTTATTTAGAAGTATAATTAAGTTGTTTACATGTAACGTTAAAATAGTTTATTGTCTTAGCACTTGTGGATAAATCCTATGAAAGATTTGTTGTTATTGTTATGTTTAATGATGTTTCTTTCAATTACTGTTGTAGCAGGGCCTCCTCCTCTTCCTTGGCCACCTCCCCCTCTTCCTCGGCCACCTCCCCCTCTTCCTTGGCCACTTCCACCTCTTCCTTGGCCACCTCCCCCTCTTTTTTGGCCACCTCCTCTTCCTGCTCCTCTCCCTCCACTTCGTCTCTGCTTCCCTTTACCCCTATGTTGTCTCCTTTTCTTCTAACAAAAAGAGATTAAGTTATTATTGTTTACATTAATGCTCCATTGTTACTTTGAATTTCTTTCCCTTCTCTCTCTCTGTCTCCCTTCCCGTGCCTGAGTCTTCTCCCGTCTCCGTCTCTTCTGTCCCCTCTGTTTCGCTTCCGGCCCCTGTTTCTTCCCCATCATCACTGTCCATTATTTCTCCTTTCTCCCTCTTTCCTTCTTCTATTAGTTCCAGTTGTCCTAATTTACAATGTCATAAAGCCTTTAATTTACACTTAAATTATGTTTACTTTTAAGAGCTGGCTGAAACTGTTCCAAGTCTTTAAGTTAATTGGTGTGAAATTAAAGTACAAGTAATTCAACTATTATTAATTTATTTACCTAAGGGCCTTCCTTCTTTCTTCTTGCCTAATGTTTGTAAATAAAACTAACCAAAATACAATGCAAAGTTACTTTTTAATACAATGGCCCTTCTTACATCTACTTGACAGCAAAAATTATTAGATTGCAATCATAAAAGAAAACTTACTTAGGCCGTTTCATTCTATTAAAAACAATGTCATTTTCAATGTCAATTTCACCTTTCAATCTTACCATACTCCTTTGTACTGTCTCCTCTCTTCTCTTTGTCTCTGTCTTTTTGTCTCTTTCTCCTCTGTCCTCTCTCCTCTGTCTCCTTTCTTCTCTTTCTCCCTGACTTCTTTTTCTGCTATAAATACAGTTATTTTTTGCTTTTTAATGTACAACACAAACATACAAACAACTTACCAAGTTCATCTACCAAAAAAAGGCATTATAGTTATCACTGTAGGGTTACAAATTCCCAACTTACCATCAGATGGATGGACCTCAATGAGGACATTGTCTATTGGGGTAGCCATTACTTTTTGACTTTGAACTTACAGTTTCAGGTGTCTTATTTTATATCCTAAAGGTCACAGTTGACACTTCGTGTTCTTTGATTGGCTGTGAATGACGCAATGACTTCTATTTCGGTATTCTTCTCCCACACATTTTTATTATCAGTCATCTCACCAGTATAGATAAACACATATCACCTGCATGATAACTTCGAGACTAACTTTCTCTCAGCAGAGACTAACTTTTTCTTAGCCTTCCCTTTTGAGTTAGTAAGTTTTAAACAAAAATGAGTGTTTGTGTTTATGTTGATATCTCACGCACATACTAGTTCCACACCTTTGTTTTCAAAAAAGGGGATTTATAGTTTGTATGTCTTAGCGTTACAAACGAGTTCCTCTCCTTTAGGGGATCAATAGTTTGAATATTTGGCATTCAAACTAGTTCCACTCCTGTTTCAGGGGATCAATAGTCTGTTTGTTGTAGACAAACTAGTTCCTCTCCTGTTGAAAGGGGATCAATAGTATGTGCATTACACAAACTCATTTCTGTTATTCATTTACTGATTACATGGACAAGTTCTTCAATTATGACCAAATTGACCACAATTACCACATTTTCTTTGTGTTGCAGGTGGTTCTAGAGATTGCCTGGGAGAATGTGATACTTCGATCTCCATTGCGAGGTCTGGTGGATTATCTACACCTGGAGTTGATTGTCGAGATGATCCTGTTGGTCGAGGTGCATCAGGAAGTGGGCAGGTTACATCTTTACATTTGTATCTGCAAAACGATCTTATCTTTTCGTAAAGGTACCATTTCCTTTCAGTTGACATACCCTTTGGTGGTAATATATTAGGTAGTTCATCTTCCATTATTTGAGCGTCCTCCTTCAGCAAATTGAATTGTGTGACTGGGCCATCTACAGCTTGTCTGGCTGCAACTACACCAGGTGAGGTCGCATTTACAACAAAGTGTTGAAAGCCTTTGATGCCTTTTATTTTCTTGAATAATGTAGCAAAGTAACTACACCAGTCAAGTGTTTCTACAATGAGTTCACCATTGCTACTTCCTACTGGTTGGGCTTTGTTCACAGCAGATGATTGTTCTACAACTTGAATGAAGTCATCCATGGAGTCCGCCTCTGCTTTACGGAATTTTTGCTTTAATAGTCCGAAGCACCAGTCTGGAGAAAGTTTTGTGTGTCCAACTGGCAGAAAGGATATTGAAATGGATGCATTGAGTCCTGTCATGACTCTCCATAAGAGGTACTAAAATAAATAATTTCATTTAAAATATTCATTATTGTGCATGTAGTATACTTACTTGAATAACTGTATTATTTTTATTTTGCCCTGTGCAGTTGTCAGCATTGAAATGGATACTGACTGAGTTGAGGCCATGATTCTTCAAATAAAAATGTACCATGCTTATGACAGGATTTGCCCCTTTACCAGTGTCGAATGATTCATCGATCAAGAAATTAACCTGCTGAGGGATAGCTTCACAGCACATATTAAGTATGCCACATTTCCTGGGAGTAAGAAAGTAAATTGGACTTGCTTGTAAGTGCCCTTCACCATCAATGACACCAAGTCCTTTGAAATTAAAACAACAAAGTTTCCATTTAGCAGTGGCTGAAGAAGTAGGTTCCTCCTTTTGTATGCACTCCAAGTTTGTTTCAAAATAAGAAGTTGGAGCTCTGTGTACCAAGGTGCTTGCTGACCCCTTTCCATTAAAAATAAAAGACCACAGAACGACTGGTGTTGATAGTGTAACTGTTCCTCACAATGACTTTGTGGGTCAAAAAGTAGTGACAAAATCATTTCACAGTCTTGAATCAGACTGTTTAATTGATGAAGAAAAGATCAAGGGTGTTTCAAAGGTTTTGCATGAAATGTTACCACGTCCTTCTACCAATAGAGATTGGGTACAGAAAGCAGTTGCAATTATATCAAAGCTTTCTGGTATCACAGTTGTTCAACGTGTTGATGCTGTCAAACAGGTTTCTTGCAGAGAAATAGCTCCTCATATTCGGGATGAGATTGTCCGTAATGGGGCATGTTTCTATAGGACAATTTCAAAAGCCATTACTGGTACTGAAGACAATCATTTTGCAGTCCGTATGTCCTTAATTAACTTCATGCTTGACCCTGCCAATGTTCTTGCCTTTAGTGGACTCGTTCCTGCGGGAATTTATTACAATATAGATGAATTAAAAGCAGTGAGTAGTCACATAAACAGACATAAACTCTATGTAGGAACCTCATGGTCAACTGAATATGAGGAATTTGCAGCTGCCACAATGTTTCAAGTTAAGATTATGGTATTTTCAGAATACAGTATAACATTGATTATCTGGACCCCTTTGTCCATCAGGTGGTCCGGATGGGTCTGGATAAGTGAAAAGTCCGGATAATCGAAATGACCTTCAAAACCTTCATATACTTACTCCAAAGAAAAGCTAGAGCCTTAATTAGCAATAAGGAGGCTATATCGAAGCCTTTTTACTAGTAGAAAGCCATTAATCAGCAGCATTCCAGTGTTAAACAAGCTACTCCGTGTAGAAAGCAGCCATTTTATAATACCGTATACTCTAAGTGAATTTAAAGCACCACGTGGTCACTTCCGGTCATGATTTTA